ATCAAAAGATTAACATCAATAAGATCACATTAGAACAATGGAAGAAATAATAAATTTTCCCATAAAACGTAAGCAAACAGAATCATAAACTTTAATGACTGTACACATAGAAGAAAATTAGTTCTGCTAACATTCCAAAGGAGCATTCTCCCTGGTAAGAAACTTTAAAAAAGTCTGAAATGCATGTGAAAACATTCTGTGGGTTATATAACACTTGTTGCCTTTGTCATGATCAATGGAAAAATAACACTTGACAAAGTAACAATCAGATGTCAGAAAAAAAAATACATTTTAATACACCACATCTACACTAAATATATGAGTAAGATATGCAGAAGGCAGTTATTCAGTGCACTGAGACTCAATCTTCATCCACTGATCAATGTCATCACTGTTGCTAACGCTTTATATGAATTTTAATGCAGTCTTAGCATCTCCTACTATAGCTTATGACAAGAAATACAGCAAAAAGAAAGGACATAAACAGAATGATTTCAAAAGGTATTTAAATATATATGTGTGTGAGAGAGACAGAGAATGTGTGTATATGTGTGTGTGATAGAGAGAAAGAGAAAGAGATAGCTTCCATATACTTGTATTAATGTTAAAGATGGCGAAGCAAAAATACTATTGTTAAGTAAAAGCTTTGCTTTTTGGTTACCATATGGCCAAAGGATGTACTGTTAATCTGTCTTATTCCATGACACCACATTTGTCAAGTCACTGTGTTGCTTAAGGAATAACTTAAAGGCTATTTATTAGTCCTTAGCCTTTCCTTCACCAACAAGAGATTTTTTTGACTTATCTTGTTGTTACCCTGTTTTCCTATCCGACCTTGCTACAAATCATGTGTACATACATGCGCCTACCACTTACCTAGCACAAGTCGGACCTCTGTACCTCAGCCTAGATATGAAAAGATACCCAGGAGTGATTTCTCTTATCCAATAAGAAGCATGGCCATGCTTTCTAAGACAATTAGGAATAGTGCTTCCTCAAGACCCAGCTATACCACTGCTAGGTATATACCCAAAGTTTGCTCAAGTATACAAAAGGGATATTTGCTCAACCATGTTTATAGCAGCATTATTTGTAATAGCCAGAACTTGGAAACAACCCAGTGTCCATCAACGGAGGAATGGGTACAGAAATTGTGGTATTTTTACACAATGGAATACTATTCAGCAATCAAAAAGGAGGAAATCATGAAATTTGCAGGCAAATGGTGGGATCTAGAAAAGATCATCCTGAGTGAAATATCCCAGAAGGAGAAAGACAAACACGGTATATACTCACTTATATAGGCCTATAAGATATGATAAACATAATGAAATCTATACACCTAAAAATGATAATCAAGAGAGCGGACTTGGGGTAAGATTATCAATCCTCATTTAGAAAGACAGATGGGATGCGCATTGAACATATGACAGGAGTCTACTGAGCGCATTTGAAAGACTCTAACTAGCAGTGTCTTCAAAGCAAAGACTCATGACCAAACCTTTGGCAGAGTACAGGGAATCATAAGAAAGAAGGGGAGTTAGTCTGATGAGGAAAGGATAGGAGCTCCACAAGGACCAAATATATCTGGGCACAGGGTCTTTTCTGAGACTGACATGCAACCAAGGACCATGTATGAATGTAACCTAGAACCTCTGCTCAGATGTAGCCTGTGGTAGCTCAGTAACCAATTGGTTTCCCATAGTGAAGGGAACAAGGACTGTTTCTAACAGGAACTCAATGACTGGCTCTTTGGCCTCCCCACCCCTCAAGGGAGGAGCAGTCCTGTTAGGCCACGGAGGAGGGCTTTGCAGCCAGTCCTAAAGATACCTGATAAAACAGGATCAGATAAATGGGGAGGAGGTCCCCCCTATTAGTGGACTTGGCAAGGGGCACGGTGGAGATGAGGGAGGGAGGGAGGGAATGGGAGGGAATGAGGGATCGGGACATGGCTGGGATACAGAGTTAAAATGTAACTGATAATAAAAAAAAATAAAATTAAAAAAAAATTAAACACACACACACACACACACACACACACACACACACACACAAAAAAAAAAAAGAAGCATGGCCATAAAACTGCCCATCCCTCTGGTTCATTAACACTATACCTCCAAACACTTGTGGAAGGACTGCCAATTCTTTCACACTATCTCCTCTGTGAACCATCTGTGTCACATGATCAACCCTCTAGCTCTAAATGCTCCTGAGCAAACTTCTGTGGCTTTATTAGGTGACCACATCCCCAGCAGCAACAGCATGCCCCTGGGTAGACCCTGAGCAGTATGCAGTGGTCTCAATGGGAACGGTCCCCAGGGGCTCATCTGTTTGACTGATTGGACCAAAGCTGTTAGGATCATTTGGGAAGGATAAATACATGTAGACTTGTCGGGGGGATTATGTCACAAGGAGCAAGCTTTGAAGTTTCAAAAGCCCATGTCCATCCCAGTCTAGTGCTGTCTCCTAACTGAAGATCAAGAAGTAATCTCTCAGATACTGCACTGCTCCCATGCCTTGCCTGCCTACTGCCATGCACGCTGTCATGATGATCACAGACTAACCTACTCCAAAACTATAATCAAACTGCCAATTAAGTGCTTTCTTTTAAAAGCTCCAGTGGTCATGGTGTCTCTTCACAACAATAAAACAATAACAGTGCTGGCTAGTTTTATGTCATCTTAACACAAGCTAGAGTAACTGGAAAGGAAGGAACCTCAAGTGAGAAAATGCTCATTAGATCTTGCTGTAAAGCATTTTCTTAATTAGTGACTCATTGGAAAGGACCTAGCCCATTGTGGGTGGGGCCTCTCCTAGACTAGTGGTCCTGAGTTCTATGAGAAAGCAGTCTGAGCAAACCATGAGGAGCAAGCCAGTGAGCAGCACCCCTCTATGACCCATGCATCAGCTCCTGCCTCCAGGTTACTGCCCTGTTTGAGTGTCTGTCCTGACTCCCTTCTATGATAAACAGTGATGTGGAAGTGTGAGCCAAAGAGCAGGATCTTGGGGAAGCTCTATTCCTAATTGTCTCAGAAAGCGCCAGATTGATTTCCAAAGTGGTTGCACAAGTTTACATTCCCACCAGCAATGGAGGAGAGTTCCCCTTTCTCCACAACCTCTCTAGCATGTGTTGTCACTTGAGTATTTGATCTTAGCCATTCTGATGGGTGTAAGGTGAAATCTCAGGGATGTTTTGACTTGCATTTCCCTTATGACTAAGGACGTTGAGCATTTCTTTAAGTGTTTCTCTGCCATTCTATATTCCTCTACAGAGAATTCTCTGTTTAGCTCTGTAACCCATTTTTTAATTGGATTGCTTGATTTATTGCCTTTTAACTTCTTTAGTTCTTTATATATTCTGGATATTAGCCCTCTGTCAGATATAGGGTTGGTGAAGATCCTTTCCCAGTCTGTAAACTGTTATTTTGTTCTGATGACAGTGTCTTTGCTTAACAGAAACTTTTCAGTTTCATGAGGTTATAGGCATATATACAAAACATGCTCAAGTACACAACAAGGATATTTGTTCAACAATGTTCGTAGCAGCTTTATTTGTAATAACCAGAACCTGGAAACAACCCAGATGTCCCTCAATTGAGGAATGGATACAGAAATTGTGCTACATTTACAAAATGGAATACTACTCAGCAATTAAAAACAAGGAAATCATGAAATTTGCAGATAAATGGTGGAATCTAGAAAAGATCATCCTGAGTAAGGTATCCCAGAAGCAGAAAGACACACATGGTATATACTCACTTATAAGTGGATGCTAGACCTATAATATAGGATAAACATACTAAAATCTGTACACCTAAAGAAGCTAAGCAAGGAGGAGGTCCCTGGGTAAGATGATCAATCCTCACTCAGAAAGACAAATGGGATGGACATTGAAAGGAGGAGAAAACAGGAAACAGGACAGGAGCCTACCACAGAGGGCCTCTGAAAGATTCTACCCAGCTGTGTATTAAAGCAGATGCTGAGACTCTTAACCAAACTTTGGGCAGAGTGCAAGGAATCCTATGAAAGAAGGGGGAGATAGCAAGACTTAGAGAGGACAGGTGCTCCATAGGAGAACAATAAAACCAAAGTATCTGGGCACAGGGGTCTTTTCTGAGACTGATACTCCAATCAGAGACCATTCATGGAGATAACCTAGAATCCCTGCTCAGATGTAACCCATGGCAGCTCAGTATCCAAGTGGGTTACCTAGTAAGGGGAACAGGGTCTCTAACATGAACTCAGTGGTGGGCTCTTTGACCACCTCCCCCTGAAGGGGGAACAGTCTTACCAGGCCACAGAGGAGGACAATGCAGCCAGTCCTGATGAGACCTCATAAACTAGGGTCAAGTGGAAGGAGAGGAGGACCTCCCCTAGCAGTGGATTTGCAGAAGGGAATGGGAGGAGATGAAAAAGGGAAGGTGGAATTAGGAAGGAATGAGGAAGGGGGCTACAGCTGGGATACAAAGTGAATAAAATGTAATTAATATTAAAAAATAAAAATTTAATAAAAAAAGACACAAGAAAAACAGAGCAGCCCATAATAGCAGAGCACAGGTGGTAAGCACACACACATACACACCTAGAATCAAAGCACTCGGGAGGCTGAGGTAGGAGGAGAAAGAAAGAGAGGGCAGAAGAAGAGGAGAAGAAGGAACAGAAGGAGGAAGAAGGGAGGAAGGATGAACATGGAAGGCAGAAGGAGGACAGAGAAGAAGGCAAGCAAGATAGTACCCTAAAATTTAAGCACATTTAACTGCAAATTCCAAACTAACTTCAACCTTGCCTCTGAATTCCTATCTGAAAGCCTCATAAGAAATTTAAAACAAATGTACTAGAGTGTAATTGGTTAAAATAACAAAATTCAGGACATTCTAATAAACTATTATTCATGGCACCAATATAAATTTCCTAAAGACTGAGAATATTTTTTATGGAGCATACATAAAATACATTTAAAAAAATCAGTTCTTTAAATCAGAATTCCTTCAGGCTTTTACCTTTTCTTCTAGTTTCTCCTTCAGATCCTGGTATTTTAGCTTCAGTTTTCTGTTCTCATTTTCATTCTGGGTTAATTCCTCTGTCAGTTTCTCACACTTGGCTTTCAACAACTCTAGCTGACAGCGATGGGCTTTAGCCATATTCTTATCTTCCAAGTTTTCAGCCTGATGTAAAGACATGGAGAAAAGAGAAAGCTGACTGGCTACAGCTAAATAATACAAAACATAATCCACACTGTATCTGTGGGGAAAGAACTGCAAGATTTTAGTGCTCTTGTTCACACACAGAAATCAAATACAAAGCAAATGTTCTTTGTATGTATTCAACACACCTCAAACACTTGCTAAGTGACAGGTACCATAATAAGGTTTTGAAGATAACAGATAGAAAATATAAAGTAGTATGAGTAAACAGTCAATTTGACCTAATAAAGGAGAAGTACTTCCTGGGTATTTTGACTGGTGGGGGTCGGGGGAGAGAAACTGCTGAGCAAGAAAAGCATTATTAAAGAAGATCCCCATAGAGACACTTCAAGATGATGCTTTTGAATGGTCAGTTTCCTCATCTACAAAAGAAGGACTTAACCTTCTTCCTTCCTGGATTTTAAAAAAGACTAGCATGCTTCTCATACAATATAATGCTGATACTACTCTCCTGGGACATAAAAGAAGAGTATGAATGTGTTGTCCATCACCAACAGTGCAGTGAAGTCCCTTCTGATCTATATTTTTTTGGGTGTAACCAAAGTCAGCAGTTTTTTTGTTCACTTATTTTTGAGACTACAATTTAATTATGTTTCTTTCCCTTTCCTCCTTCCAAACCTCCCATTATACCTCTTCCACATCCATATGGAGACAAAAAGACCAAGGAGAGCCAAAACAAGATTAAGGAGGTGATATCACCATTCAGGACTTCAAGTGTCAGCAACAGCGTTACCTCCTTTCCTTTCCCCACAACCTGAGCAGGGGGGTGCTATTACTGCCCTACTAACTCCTATTTCGAAACTGAAGGCCTTGGAGACTAGTAATTTACACACATATACCAGAAATAAAAGCATGCAGAGGACCTGAGCCCAGGAATGCTTCCTAACACCTGTGTGTTCAGCAGGACTACTGCCACAAGGCCTTAAAAGCACCTGAGCACAAGTGTCAGTCATAACAACACACCCACCAGTCACTAACAGCCGATAAGCAATGTCATACAATCTGTTTAAAATATGTAATACCCACCACATAGGGGCTTTCTTTTCCTCTGTGGTTGCGTGGAATACACGTGCAAACTAGGCAAGTGCCCTCTCTACCTGAGCTACATGGCAGCCCTGCCTCCTTCATGGCTATGTCTATTACGTGTGATTAATTAGGTATGTAGGAACACAATCACTGGAAACAACTTCCTAAAAGAAGTTTTGAGAGTTTTAAACAAAATCTATATTTTATTTACTCCACAATATTCAGCTAAGACCTGATGCCACTTTGAATTAACAAAGGAAATGGGTTTTTTTATGAGCAATCCTGTATTCACAGCCCCAAAAAAAATTTACAAAATAAAGTCCTCTCATCAGGAAAATTGCTCAATTACAATTTTAAGTTTCAGTAGACTGCTTTTTATTTTACCTTATGCTCTATAGAAAAAAAGCACAGGTGAATGAGAACCATCTCCTGAAGGTCAATGGCACCTCGCACCTGCTCACAGGCCCTCAGGAGAAAGCTCCTTCCACCCACCCCCTTCCAGCCAGGCCTCATCTGACAGAAGCTAAGATGGAGACACCTACAGTACTGAGCTTACCACATTCTATGTTAGAGGGTTTTCTTTATTTTTAAAGAAATTTTTAAAGGTATCCATTTTTAAAAGTATCAATTCTTAATTTCCCTAATACTTTTACCTGTTGGAAGGCTATTTGTAAATTACAACTGCATTTCTTTTGGAGATTTGCAAAGTCATGAACTCACAGTCACCAAATAGTATAAAAGTACTTCGTGTTCCTGTTTTGGTGGTAAAGTTTTAAAAGTGATATAACTTTACTAATAGTATAGAGCCAACATTGGCAAAACATATCCTTCAGCTTTGGGAGAGGGTAGAAGGCCCTAGAAAATGACTTTGAGGAAATGTCATAAAAGCCTAATATTCTGAAAATGTTAACATCACCTCGAGCATGTCATAATTATGCCAATTTTAAAACTAGGTATGAGGATGGAGACGAGGCAGTAGAGGCAGTGATGTATACCAAAAGCATAGGCGACACAGCCAGGCATTATTAGCCTCTCAGGAAAGTAGTAAATTATGTGGCATTGAAAGACACAGAAACCCAACATTACAGCACTAACTGCCAGAAGCTCTCCTGTGTATCATTCAGTGTGTGCAATCTGTGCGAACCTTTGCTATCAACTCATTTTACTAAAGAGAAACAGGTAAATAAGTAGAAAGGTGTTAACAAAATAATGAGCCAGGAAGGTTGTTCCCTTAGGGTAAGTGATCTCATTTAAGGCGGGCAAATGCTAGGACTCCAGTCTCTGGTTCTTCAAGCCCCTGCTGCACCACACTACAGAACAGCACCCAGCCTCCTCAGATCTCAGGATTTCACATTTTTTTTAAAAAAGCCTGAAAGATTCTGAAAATCAAGAGTGACTGTACAGTTCAATATTTTTCACTCAAGTAACTTCTGGTTTTTGGTCATCTCACCAGAAATGATTCCAAAGCGTTTCCTAAACAAAAGGTGAAGAAATCTTCTATCCATGTTCCATGATGCATCACACTATAGCGATCCCAGAGCAGGACAGAAACAAATCCTACGACTTCCAGATTTCCAAGCATTTTAATCCAACATCTACTGAGCAAATCACTTTATGTATGAAGCCTGAAACTGGGCCCTACTGGGAGACAAAAGAACGGCTGAAGTGTGACGACTATCTGCCTGGAGACTCACACCCAAGGCTGCCTCACTGACTGTGCTAAAGGAACCAACAAACAGGAACACAAATGGTGGAGGAGTCAACCCCAGCCTCAAAGGAGATTCAGGCCACAGCAATGGACTTTCCAGAATTAAGCAAAATATTTCCTGTTGTGTATGGAAGAACACCATTGCAAATGGAGAACTGTGAAAAGACCATTTTCATGAGGCATGTGGAAGGCACAAAGGCAAACAGTATGCACAAGGAAAGGGGGGCAAATGAGGGCAAGCTGGGCTAGAGACAGCAAAGAATCAATGAACACTCTGTTGAGCAGGAAATGACACTCAAATAACCTGTTTTCAGTGAGGAGATTGGGTTGTATCTGAAGGTAGAAGGGAAAGAGTTAGGAGTAGAAAGAGGAAGTAGAGATCCACTGGGAAGTGTGTGTAGGTCATCAGAACTGCATCCCTGTCTTTTTGTCTGTGACATAGTCATATAGTCATATCCCGTCAAGCAAGCCTAGCTTTATCTGCACTCAAGACAGCAGATCTAAAGGAAATTATGTTTTTGAAAAGGTGATCCTGGACCTACTCTATCCAAACAAATTATTACCAGTTCCCAGTCACTAACATGAAGCTTACCAATAACCTAATTAAGAGTCTAAGCAGCAGTGATGAAGATGAAAGGGTGCTTCGTTTTCAATGAAACTCAAAACTATAAGCTCTGGGGAAGAACCATTTGTCAAGGCACTGTCCCATACAGCTGACAAAACATTCCACGCTCATCATGCAGAGCCCAGCCTTCCTTTGAGGTTCACGTACTCATCCACACCTCTCATCGTTGCTGACAAAAGCTGATTGGACCAATCACCCTCTCCACAGAGGTTTCAAACATATTCTTCATGATAATACAAAAAAAATGGCCAAGTGACCACCTCAGAATCCCTTAGCTTATTGTATTTCTGATCCCTCCACCCACATTCACACTGGAAACCTGCCAGATGACCACTTGAACCTTAACTTTAAAACTATGAATGATTAAATAAAAATAAAAAATATATATATAAGGAAAACAGAAATGGACCTTTAGCCCCAGCCTCTCTCTTTCATTTGGTAGAATGCTTGTTCTTCTACTCTAGTTGCATGGCAATGCCCACAAGTTTTCTGCTGGCCTCTACCAGTCTTCCCATCAAGTGTCTGCCTGTTGCTGCTCAACTCTACTTGTACCAGTTTTAACAATGATACAGACCATCCCATTCAGGGATCATTCTCAACAGCGTCTTCCCAAACCTGCAGAGGAAGACATGCCTTGTCTCCCTTGGATGCAGAACACTCTGACCAATGACCCTTACATTTCCTTGTGGGTCTTTGTTGTAAAATACAATGAACACAGTTTTACTTTGTTTAGTTTGTCTACCACATGTGACACTAAACATTTTATTTTTACTTTATTTTATGTGTAGGAGTGTTTTGCCTGCATGTATTTCTATTCACCAAAGATATGCCTAGAGCCCATGAAGAACACAGCAGGGCACCAGATCCTTTTGAAATGGAAGTACAGACAGCAGTGAGCTACCATATGGTGCTGGGAACTGAACGCATGTCCTCTGGAAGAACAGCCGGTGCTTTTCATTTCTGAGCCATCTCTCTAGACCCTTGGTCATATTTCTTGAAATATCCTTTGGGTTTCCAAGATATCATTCTTTTCTGATTCTTCTCCTGTCTCTCCTGTGGTCTTTTATTCTTATTTTCTAGAGCCTTTTTTCTCAGTTCTTTCATTAAGCGTTGACATTCTAGAGATTTATTCTTCTCTGTCTCCTTCCATAATGCCCCAAATTGTGTGATAGAAGCTAACACTCATGAGTTCCTGAGTGTTTCAGGAATTTAAATTTCCCCTCACCTCCTAACCCTATATATCCTCAAGTTTTGTATAACTAGACTTGAGTAATTAGGCATAAGGCCCTCCCACCTAACTCAACATAGGAAGAAACTAAATTTGCCATTGTTCTCTCCAGACTTTCTGTGCTGTCTGCATGTTCTAAGTTCACAAATAGTGACATTATTCACCTACCTATCAAACTAACTACTCAGTTGTTCTTGGTTCTAAATCTTTCCCAGGACAGCGAAGTAATAACTCAAGCAGTTGACTACGCGGGTTCAAATCATATATTTACCATTCTCCAAGTATGCCTATGTCTCAGTTTCCTTGTGAGTGAGAAAGCAATGCACACTATCATCAGACAATAAAGATAAAGACAACTAGCACATATGAGGTTCCAACAGCTATAACTGACACAAAGTAGTCCAAAATATTTTTAACAGTGTTACAATAGCCAATCAATCAGAACGTAACATGAGCTCTTCTTTATAACCCTAATTCTAGTTTTGTTCATGTCCTCATCATTCTTAAGGGTCATTGCATGCTACTAAATAAATATTAAAAGACATGTTTTTCATATTTTTCCTTCTCCCATTTGCGATGTTACCTTATGTGACACCATGTCACAGTTTTACATGTAGGAGACAATAATCTTTTTTCTCAGTAGCATGCAAAAATAGTGTACCTTAAAACTGTGGTGTCAAGGACTACTAGCAACAATCTCACCTATTCTCCCCTCCATTCTGATCTGCCACCTCAGTTAACGGTCTTAAAATGGCTCCTGCCAGAAGGCTAGACAAACCTGGGAACACTCTGGGAAAGAGTGTTCTACAGGTATCAGCTATTTTAATATCATTTCTTTAATCGTAACTACTTTTAAAGTAGTAGTTGCAGATCAAGAACTTTTGAAGAAAAATTATTAAACTGTAACAATTATCCATTCATTCAACAAAAATGTGCAAGGTGTCAGAAATATCTGAGGCACTGATATAACAGCTGAAAAAAATCCAACTCTTCATGAGTTTCACTCTAAAGGAAATAAAAAACATAACTAATACGGAACCTATGCCATTTAAGTACAATAGACAAAAAGCAAAGTAGGGAGATGGATCAATTTAACCTATCTGACAAGCATGACCTGCCCTGCATGAGGATAATGCCAATGCCATTATACTTTAAGAACATTTCCATAAATGCAAGATCTCAGTTAGACAATTACCCAGGCAGCTTTGATTTGAAACAGAAAGAGTAAACTGCACAGGCCTTGGGCTTCTGCAACTTATACGCTGTGTGCCTTTAGTTACCACACAAATGCAAATAAGGACTGTGGCTTCTCCGGCCTTGGCAGGTCTTTGCCTTTTGTATTTTAGGAGGTCATAAATGTTGAACGAGGGCATATTTCAGGTCCAGGACTTATTGCCACCTCTACCTTTCCTGAACTCCCAAAATAGCTAAATGTTCTGTTTAAAGGGTTCCCCTGCTCTGCAAAAGATGCTCCCAGGGGGCTGCTATAACTCATTTCGACCTGGCCAAACAGGCATGAGTAAACTTCTTTATTGTTGGTTTTATCTTCCCTGCAATGCTTGGGAATACCAAATGATCTCTTAAAGTTTATGCTTTATTAACTTCATGAGCCACCAGGAAAAAAAAAAAAAAATTCTGTCAGTATCATCAAGATAATTGAACACCAGTACCTTCAGTGTCCGGATATGATTCTCTGCTTCACTCTTTTCTTTCTTGAAGTGCTTCATCAGCTCCTGGATATTCTGTTCATGCTTCATTTTCACGCAATTCAATGAGGATGTGAGATCTTCCAGCTCCCTCTGGTGAACGTCTCGCTCTAACTTTAACTGTGTGATAATGGTAGCAGTTTCTTCTTCTTTGGATTTTGCCTGGGCTGTCAGCTCAGAAAGGTCCCTAAGCACAGCTTTCTTGGCTCGCTCTTCCTCAGCCAGTTGATTTGCGAGATCTGCTCGGATGGCGCTCAAGTCCTTGATGGACTTCTGCAGCTCCAGAAGTTTGGCTTTGTCCTGGGACTGGCTCTCCTTTAGCTCGGTGATCTTTTTCTCCAGGTGATCTTTCTCAGCTTTTACCTGACTTTGAATCTTACTCTGTCTTTTCAACTCACTTTCCAGTCTTTGGATGGTGTCGAGGGAATTCTTGACCTCCAGTTCGAGTTCAGCTTGGTGACACAGAATGTCACTGAGCTGCTTCTCCTTGCAGTTAAGCTCCTCCTCCTGCAAGGCACGCTTGCTTAAGAGCTCATTCAGTTCCTTCCTGAGATTATCAATCTGCTGTAAAGCTACATAAAGCTGGTTTTTCAATTCATCCTTCTCTTTTAGCATCTAGTGGGTTAAGAATAAAAAGCAAAAACAGGAAAAAAAGGTTACTGCAAAATATCCCATGGGTCTTCCAGGTAATAAAATAAAATTTAATCCGTAAGGAAAGAAAATTTTACTAAATCACATTTTGTATATCTTAATAAAAAAATAATTGTAGGCTGGAAATTGTATAAACATATCGTCATTATATAGCTACATAAAATCACATATTGTAATGCCACATTCAAATGAACATGTATTTCAGATACCTATTACCAAAATGTACTAATCTATAATGATCAATAATTACTTAAGTATAAGATAAATAAGGCAAAGAAATAAAAGGGGAAAAAGCTTCTGTTGTGACTTATTAATTACTGAAATATTAAAATATTACCTAAAATAACAGTAATGCATATTCCAGTGAGACACTTAAAAAAGAACAGGTAAAAGATAATATGGGGAACCTAGACAACGTCTAAGAGGCAATGATACATGATATGAGTCACTTGTGGTAAACTAATCAAATAATGCTAATATCTGACAAGACACACAGCAACGAACAACCATAAGTCTTGAGATCCCACAAAGACAGGCATAAGGTCTTTACGGGGAGCACAGGTTGGGAAGGTACTCAAGAGAAATACATCACCTAGAGGGTAAGAGATTACACTGGGTGACAGAGGCTCCTAACCAACCATCCTGGTCTCTGAGTGTCACCACACACTCATTAGAAAGGACAACAGCAGCCAGTGGAGCCACAGTTGTTTCCAGCAACACGCGGGCACCATGAGGAATGTTTATGTTTATCAGCAGAATGTTTGCTGCTGATAGTCAATACATCTCTCCTCTCTGTGATTTTGTATTTTTAGTTCTTGTTTATTCCTTTTTTTTAACCTTACCTGAGAAAAACGCTGTATATGTTTATGACATGCAATGACATAACCATTAAGATTCCTTTCAGAATCTGAAAGGCCAATCTCAATTACCGATGTTTTATGTAACTACATAAAATCATATGCATATACATATGTATGAATAAGAGATTAAAACTGTCAAGGGGGACAAAGGAGACCAAAAAAGAAAAAGAAAAAAAAAAAAGAAAAAGGAAAAGAAAAGCAGGGAGAGGTAAGAAATAGAGAGTAGAAGACCGTGGAGAAAATGTGTTCAAAATACATACATACATACATACATATATACATACATACATACATACATACATACACACCACATATGAAATAAAATGAAATGAAATAAAGAAGAAAAAAAGAAAGGGAGTGACTAAGCAGTTGACCTTTGACCTGAGAACATTGAATTTGTTTATCAATAACCATAATAGGTCAATGTAGTTAATTAATCACTTATCTTCAAAATAATAATAATAATTCATGTTATGACTCACTACAATGGCTTTCTCTAGATTCTAGACCCATATTCTTGGGCTTCCCAGCCACTAGAACTGTGAGCCAAATAAAATTCTGTTTGCTCAGCCTGTGCCCTTTAATTACTATAAGTTACAGCTTTATATAAGCTATAATAACAGCTACAGCTCTAGAAATTAAAGAGAAACACTTTTTAAGAAAATCATTGTATTTATCCCACTAAAGAAGATGAAAATACTCTGTAGGAATAGTGTCGCAAGAATCTAAGAAGAGACAGCTTAACTACATGACACAGGCTTGGAAAAGATACTGCAGTCACCCTAGCTGTGAGTTACGAGGCTTTTTCAGCTAGAGATGATGGTGGCGTCTCATTACATCTGGTAGAACGTTCTGCTTCTGAAATTGGTTTAAACAGCAAGAATCTTTCTTTTTCTTGCAATGCAACAGATCCAGAAATACAATGATTCAGTAACAGTCCTTTGAGTCCTAGGCTCTTCTACTTTACAATTCTCTAGGGTTCACCTTCTTCCCAGAGTTGCAAGATCATCTCAACTCACATGTAAAACAACAGCTCGAGTTGGAGAATTGTAGGATGCTAGTCAGGTCTGGAATTTCTTTCGCATTATAGATACTGAAAAACAACTCATATTCATATATTTGGTTAAGGGCTGGGTGTAAGGGGCGTGGGGAGTCCAGGACAGCCAAGGCTAAACAGAGAAACCCTGTCTCAAAAAACCTAGATAGATAGATAGATAGATAGATAGATAGATAGATAGATAGATAGATAGATAGAATGGCTGAGTGTGGTAAGAATTGAAAAATCCCAGACTAAGATTTTGAAACTTAAAGGTGTGAAGAAAGAGCAATTACAGATAAAGAATCTAAACTGTATGAATCAGCAGCTCTAGTGAAGTGACCTGAAGCCCACTGTACAGTAGAACAACGATATCCTGACCAACTCTGAATAATGTGACAAGAATTACATTTAAGAAATAGGAGGAAGGAGAGACGGATGCCAAACCCCTTGAGAGATTTGAAAACAAACATAATGGGGAAAACAAAACAAAAACTCTCTGGTCTCTTGGATGACAATTCTGCTAGACTAAGGTCCCAGCACATTCCACAGGCAGGACAAGCGGTAGGTCAAAGGTTTTCATGGCTAGATTAGTGTCCCAATCCCTCCACTTGTGGCCTTGTCTTGTTACAGAAGTTGCTTGGTTCAGGCTGTGTCCCCTTCCTAGGAGTCTTTACTAGGGTTACTCTCAGAGATTCCATGGAGTTTCCATTGTACCTTGTCCCCAAAATGCCCCCCAATTCCAGTCATTTCTCCTATATTTTCTTTCTCCCAGAGACTTCATCCAGCAAGTGATCGGAGCAGATGGAGAGTCCCACAGCCAAACAGTAGACAGAGTTGAAGAACTTCTGTGGAGGAGAGATAGGAAGGATCAAAGGAACCAGAGGGGTCAGGAATATACCAAGAGAACACAGCCCACAGAATTGACTGACCAGGACTCATGAGAACTTGCAGAGATCAGGAAGCTTGCAGGGATCTGACCTAGATCCTCTGCATATATGTTATCACTGAGTAGCTCGGTGTTCTTGTGGGAATACTATCAGTGGAAGCAGGGGCTGTCCTTGACTCTCTTGCCTGCCTTTGAAGAGTGACAACCTTTTCTTCCCACTGGGCTTCCCTGTTCAGCTTTGATGTGATGGTATGTATATGCCTGTTCTACTGTAGCTTGCTATGCTGAGTTTGGTTGATATCCTTGGGAGGACTGTTCTTTTCTGAAGGGAGATGACAGCAGCAGGAGGAGACCTGAGAGAGAAAGGTCAGGGGAAAGGTTGGGGGAAGGGAGGGGAGGAAGGGAAATTTGCAGTTGGGATGTGATATATGAGAGACAAATATAAATTAAAAAAATAATAATAACAAAAGAAAAGGCTGTGAGAGAAAAAAAATGGCATATCCAAAACCTTGGAAAGAGTAGAAAAAAGGACAGCTCCTCAAAGGCCTCACGCCAATATCCATATCGCCATTTTAATCTTACTAAGAGGTACATGAGGGAGGTTGCAATGTTATTTGCCTTTTGAAAAAAAATGCATAAAATGCAATACTTTCTGAGCTACATCTCATAGGCTTCAGCACATACTCAAGAAGTGGAACACATCAGCAATGAGCCTTCTTTCCTTAAACTATTAAAATAGTTCAGACCTTACTGGGCAGGATATTACTTCCCTCAGCAGGGGAGAAATTCATAGATGGAAAAGATGGCAAATGAAGACCCTTAAAGTCAAATACAATCAAGCAAAAAGCTCAATACACAAGCCTGCTGATAATTCTGTCAACTCATCAAAAGAAAGAGAAGAAAATGCAAGGAACACTAGCTGCCCTAACAACAGCATAGGAAAGCGTGAGGAAAATTAGAAATGTCGCTCACATACCGTGATCAACCCGAGATTTCTAATTCTTCCTCTTTACTTTTCAAAGCACTCCTGAAAACCAGTGATTTCCAATACACTTAAAAACAAAACAAGGAGCTAAACTATTCTAAAGGACAGCCAGCTCACTGGAGCTATGGAGACACCACGATCTCCCTGGGTGTTGACCTGCATACTCTTCTGGTGCAGAATGGTTCCTGGTGGAAATACCCATGTCCTCTCCTTGAAGGAAAGAAAAAGACTTGACATTTCTTGATTTTTTATGCTATTTTTCTGTGATTATATATGCTTTTTGCTTAAAGTTACACGTCCCTTAGTAAGTAAAATAGATTTGTGCCATGTGATTGCAATTCCATAAATATACATGAGAATAGAAGAAATAAAGTGTATTTAAAGAGAAGCATTTAGTCTTTTAATATACCTTTAAGTGGCAAATCTTAGAGCAGATTATAAATTAGGCTACAGAGAGAAACAGACTAGGCATAGAACCATTTTACAAATAGAAAAACTGTACCATTAGACCACACAAAATGGATCAACAAAGCTCCCAAGCTATGTTTAAATAATTAATTCATTCTTTAAACTACAGGATGTTATATTTGTAAGTATCATTTTTACTTTAAAATACACTTGCAAATATACCCAAGAGTCATTTTATGAAACTAATTAGCTCAAAACAAAAAAGGGGACTATATTATGCCTTAAGGCAGGTTGTGATTTTTATTAAAAATTAAATATTAAGTAAATAGTCCTTATATTCAACAAGCTGTTCTCTCTCTCTCTCTCTCTCTCTCTCTCTCTCTCTCTCTCTGTCTCTGTGTGTGTGTGTGTGTGTGTGTGTGTGTGTGTGTGTGTTTGTGTGTGTTATATAACCTAGGGCATTGAATACGTAAAGTAAGCACCTTACTGCTGACCTATGACCCCAACCCAACATCAGGATACCTCCTCTGTTACTCTCCATCATTTTTTTTTAAGCCCACGTCTCTCAGTGAACCTAAAGCTTGGTGTTTTGGCTAACCCAACTGTCCAAGAAGCCCCTCAGATGCCTCTGGTCTCTGGTTCCCAGTCCTGAGATCACAGATATGTACCATTGTCCCTGGCTTTCACACGAATACCTCTGACCTAGTCTAAGGTCCTCATACTTGTTTGTACAGCAGGTTTGAGCCATCATCCAACCTGCTAGATATTTTTAATTTTTTCCAAAATTATTCGCCACCTATCTACACATCACAGATTTACTGTACACTTGGAGCCTCAGCATAACATTTCTAATCCTTCCTCCTTGATTAACCATTGCTCAAACTGCGCCATGTAGCATTAATTTTTAAGGTTTTTAAAGGAGAAATTACAATGCCTGCTGTGATAATTATAATCCTACCCTAACTATAGCAATCACTTTAGAGCTACTTCTCTGCTTATCATCAGTAATGCTAAATCATAAAAAAATAATTTTATCAGGGATATTCTGGGACATGATTGTTTAATAATTTTTAGTATTCTGAAAACTCAGTGTAATAAGTGTTCAGCACCGTAAATTTTGATACTGCCTGGTGGCACAGACCCTTCTAAATTTCCTCTAATGAAGTAAGATTCCCCAGATAGCTCGCAGTCAATCAATAGCAACTCCTTGCTCTCTAGCTGCCTTCCCTTACAGGCTTTTTCAGGAAACCAGTTGCCAGGCCAGGCAGACAACAGTATAATCAAGGTAGAGGAATTTGCTCAGATCAAATCAATTTAGAGTCAAGTCCAAAGCTTTAGGACTGCTTCACCTCCTGGCAAGCAGCCACTCACTGTGTGTCAGATGAGTTCAGACGGAAGGCACTCCACAGTGAACATAAGCTTCCTTGATCTTAAGTGGGAAAAATGTGTACTGAAAGGATAACGCCTCATGCTTGTGACATCTGACCCTAAATAAGCATCTACCATTATAAATAATGACATATAAGTGAAGACAATTGATCCAATAAATGTAAATTGTCCTGCACTTTCATTTTTTCATGTTATTATTTCCTAAGACAGTCCACTTAACCAAATGATTACTCTGGACCGTTTTGAGTTCTCGACAAACAACAAAATACATATGATGAACCAAGAGCAAACATGGATAAAAATCAATCATGATGTTGCTTTTTATTCTTATTAACATCTGTGTTTAATTCAACCTAAAGACATAGGTGGAAATCAACAGAGGAACATCAAACCTATTTAAAGTAACTCACCATGGCAAGAAACATAGAACACTTAGAATACAAGGCTTTCTGCTGCCATCAGGAGAGCATAAGATAGTCATACGGAGCCTTGCAACCTGACAGCACTGCTCTGCCAATGAGACTGTCAGTGTCACTCATCTAGATCAGCCTATTAAAACACCTTCCAGAATAACTCATTAGTAACCACTACATTTTTAACATGCTTCTTTCTTCCCAACGCTTAAATCAAAATACTCAGCTAAGTGAGATTTTAAAGCAATGTAGTTGGGGAATGCCACATGATGTTAAGAGAGATTAAGTGACTTTTTTCCTCTGAAAAGTTAGAAGAATATTGAATTTAGGGAGCTCCTGAGTGAAACTGAGACAGAAGGTAGAAGATCCCTCAACTCTAAAGAGTCACCAAATATTAAAATATTTCAGAATATTTGGAAAATCCAGACTCTATATAATGTTTTCCCCTCAACTAAACAATACTTAATGGCTCTTTGTTCCAAGACAGATTGATATGTCTAGATATGTACAGATACAGCATGGTCCTCAAACAGTTATTCAACGGATAGATAAACAAAGGGTTAAGAACCTAGCTCTCCTACCTGACTGTTCTTATCCGTCAGCTGGTCAAGGGTTTCAGCTTGTTTTTCCAATGCCCGTTCCAGCTTCTTATGCTTCAGCTTCCACTGGCGGATGGAGTCCTGGGCCTTTGTCTTCAGGTCTTCTTTCCTCTTCTCTGACTCTTCTCGCAGGGCTTCTGACCTCTGAAACTCACTGAGGTAGTGCTCCGCCTGCTTGGTGGCATCCTCCGCATGCTGGGTCAGCTCTGAGATCTGCAGGTCAGCGCACTTACGATTGGCCTCACAGGTGTCAAAGTGAGTCTGGATCTCCTTAAGTTTATCCAGCATCTGCAGCTGTTGTTTTTCCTTGCACTCTAATTCATATGTCAGATTCTAGGAATCAACCACAGGGAACATTAAGTTCTTGTCAAGGTTGGGTGTGTACCATGCAAACCAGACCCTCTACTGTCACTGAGACCAAAGTCATCACCATCGCCAGGCACGGTGGCGTACACCAGTAACACCTGTAATCCCAGCACTCTGGGAAGCAGAGACAGGGGGATATCTATGAGTTCGAGGCCAGCATAGTCTACAAAGTGAGTCCAGGACAACCAAGGCTACACAGAGAAACCTTGTCTCAGGAAAAAAAAAAAAAAAAAAAAGGTCATGATCATCTAATTTCATCCACAATCAATCTAGAATGAACGGTTCATTCTGTGTATTTAATAGTCAAATTAGTGGGCACAAACTATTACCTTTCTTTCACACTATATCTTTCTAATTGTCACAAAAATAGAAAGCAGTGCTGAGAAAATCATGTGTTATTTCAGTAGAAACCTGGTGCTTTGTTCAATTGAAGCAATGTCAGTGATTTAAAATGTGTTAGGTTATTAGAAAACTCATAGAAGCAATTATGTAGCATTTCACTTTCTGGCAGCACATGAAACTTTATTACAATAAGAAAATAAATCAGTAACAATAACATGAGCATTGATGATGGAAAAACCACTGTAGATAACACTATGCTTCAAAGTTCCTTTCAAGATTCCCTGTGAAGTGGCCACAGTTATTTCCAGCCATACCAATGTAATATAAGTCTGAACACCGCTCTCAAGCTGACATGAACCACTGAAGTAAAGACTTTTAAACAAAGTTATTTATTCAGGTCATTTCTTAGTCAAGGCAAGTATCTTAAAAATCTAGCTTTCTTCAAATGGGGAGATGCTGAAGGTGGTTTTCTGTTTTAAATTTGGAAGTTTATACTAAATCATGATGGATAATACTTATTTAATTATTATTAAATATAAGGATGAATTAAATTAATTATTAAAATAAATTATTAAATATGAGAATAATTGCATAGTGAACTAAAAATAAAAGGATGTTGGTTTTATATGAGTAAAACAATGTTACTTCACTCATAAAACCTGCTTAAGAAGTCACAAGTATAGAAATAAGTATTTACAGTGTTTCACACAAGATATGCCTCCTGAAATTCACATTCCTACACCTAGAAATGACTAAAGTAACTCTAAAATGTCATTGGCCCAAATAATAATGAATCCAACAGGCTGAAAAGATGCTGTGATTCAGAGCAATAAACACCATCTATTCAGAAATAGGCAGGCTAGGGGCCCTTACAGAGTTCTGGCCTCAACAGCAGCATTTTCCAGCCTCAATTTCATTAGCCACGATCAATGGCTTAAGGCTAAGTATCAGTCCCCACAGTTCAATGATAACCAAGCTATGGTTCATAGAACCATATAGGTTAGGTATAAAGGAAGGGAATGGGGGGGACAGATCTCCTTAGAAAAAGGAGGAAAGAATAGTTATGGATGGAGATGGGGGAAGGCTGGAACAGGAGGATAAAGTGGAGAAGGGGAGGGGCAAGAGAGACAAAGGAGGGACTGCAGGGAGAGACAGCTAAAATGAAGGGCCATTTGAGGAAACAAAAGAGAGAAGTCACTTCCTAAAACATATACATATAAAATGGTGATCTAAATGAAATCATCAAATAGAAGCCTATTTGTTTTCTAATGAGAGACAGAAAGGGGGGGGGGGATCCAGGGGGGCCAGGAGTTGGGGAGGAACTGGGAGGAGCAGAGAGAAGGGAAACCATGATCAAGATATATTATGTGAGGAAAAAAAAAAACTTTTTCAATATTAAAAAAAAAAGTCAGTTTAACATTATGACAAAAGTTTCTTCTTAAACAAATAATGCCTTGAAAAAAGGGTTCATTTTCAAAGCAGCAGGTTTGCATTTGCTCAGTTCGCCATGTTCAAGGAAGCCTGGAAACCTGGACTTAATTCTTCTTCTAACCAAATCCAACAATGAACTGAGAACTGTGTTTGCATGGAAAATTCTAAGCTGAGATGGAAAAACCCTAGTGACTGTGCTTTACCATTTGTCCTTATGCTAAACGCTTTAGCAATATTTTAGAAATCAACCTCATTAATGAACAACAACCACATGATTCCACACTTGACAACAACAAAAAATGTGAACTTTGTTGCTTCCTTCTTACTGGTTTTGACAAGTAACATAAAAGGAGAATGGTTACAATTACTCTGTGTAGACACCTACCTTCTGGATACAGTGTAAATACCAAAAAATAAAATAAAAAACAAACCTGACAATTTAGTTGGAAAGGCTTTCACAAGCAACTCCCAAGTTATGCTCAACAGTAGTGAAAGCTAACACTGGCTCAGAGCTGTCTACAGGTCTTGATTCTACAGTGGGACTGGAGAAACTTAGGAAGTGACATAAGCTGAGACCTTAGTGACAAGGTGCTGGCAGTAATACACAATTTGTAAGTGCTACCTGAAATTTCCTGAGCATTTGTGTTATTCTAGACATTCGCATTACTTCCTTCATTCTCACCTCTACAGAAAGGCTTCACCGTTGTTTCATTTTGCTGACAGCCACCCAAGACTTGCTACACTTTTCTAAGATCACACATTCCGTATGTGAATGAACAGGGACTAGACATAGTCTATTGCCAGAACTCCTGTTTGCCAATCTTTACTAAACAACTGATCCTCAAAGAACCCTAAATCCAGTATGTCTTTAGTTATTGATCCCATAGTTCCATCTTCATGGAGAATTGTTGTCTTTAAAGAAAGAACCTTCTCCTACTCTCCTAGGCCCTGGGTAGAAGCTAAATACCAATCTACCCAGCTTCTTGACTCCCTTCCTCTTGCTATACCTGATCATTGTCAAGGAGAGGACCTCTCCCTTAACATCCGTTCTTTGAGCTTTCAAACCTGGGTCCCTAACCTCCATATTTTTTCATTTTAGTCACTGTCTTGCTGACCTCTCAAACTCTTTCTGAACTGGTCATCAACAAAACTATGGGTAAAATAGGTAGTTTCCTAATCCTTACTATGAGCTTTGAATATCTTAGGGGGAAAAAGAAATCACACACAGTATTAGTCAATTCAATCACAAGTCAAGAGCCACCTACCAGCCTTCAGAAATTTTTCCACACCCCTATCCAATTTATGCAACAGTCATTCCAAACTATCTCATTTACTACACTACCATCCTTTACCCACTTTTAGTATGCAAGCCAGCTCTTCCCTCACAAGCTAAACTGAGGCAGTTAAGGCACGAAACCACCAAAATGATCTACCAGCACAACTCTGAATCTCACCAATGGCTAATCTGTCTTCCTCTCTGACCTCTGTAAGACTCTTATCATCAGTACACAAACAAGCTAGAAATGCTATTTCCTGGAGGCAACTTCTAACCTGAAGAACTCTGTATAATTAGAAGGAATAAAATTATCTCAGCCCCTGCAGTATATCGCGTCATGGTATTTATTCCCTGTTTAAATGCTGTCAAAGGACAAAGTCAAAAACCACAGAAACCCCCTTTAACTAAGAATTCCTTCCCACACATAACCAAATATTAATAGATCTTCCAACAAAATCTGAGCGCTTCATACAACTCAACTCCATTTCGATTCTCACTCTTCAAAGAAGAGAAAATGGTGATGTATACTTATGTTAAAGACCTCAGGTTTGGTGAGATCCAGAAGGATATAGGGGACTCAGCACATGACTTATGATAAAATTTAGTGAAATCTTGAAAGGATGCCAAGAAAAACCAGCAAAGAAAAGGAGAATGGAATCTAAAGCCCACAGAAAATAGGAGCAAGTATCCAGTTATCTCCCATTGGAGTTAAATGTGAAATGCATAATCCCTCTAGCAGAGAATCCACTTGTAAAATGTTGTCAATTAGGAAAACTTATGTTTAACTATGGGATTTAACTTTGGGATGATCACATAAGTACCATCTGCCTAACACATAACAAAATTCAAACTCCAAGACAAAAAAAAAATTATTCAACATAAACAACATTATTTACATAGTCTAAGCAAAGTAAACAGTAGCAAGATTTAACTTCAAATTCAGGTTTGACTTTAAATCCCAGCTTTAGGAGTCTGAAGCCTAAACCAATAGAATTCATTCAATTTACAAAATGTGCCAAAGACTATCAACCTTTCCTTGGAATCACAACCTACACAAGATTTCAAAAGTACCTGAAGAGTAAGTGGCACATTTAAGTACTTGAGAACAAACATGTTTTTATATTTGACCAGAGGCCATATTATGATTAGAAAGTTAGTGTACAACATCTACATTTAGAAGGGAGGAGTTGAAGCAGACTGATCAATACAAGATGAAGTATGTATATGACATATCAAGGACTAGCCATAAGTCCTAATGAGTCAACTACTATATCACTATCAATTACCTGAATATAGTCTAGTGAACTTCAACATATATATGAATGGCCAGAAACAGAAAGGAATGAGAAATGGGAATTATATAAACATTAATGCGCAGTTATTTCTAAAAAAATTATAGAAACTAAGGGGGGGGAAAAAGAATCACAGGATAAGCCTTGACATGAATTTAAATAAAAAACAGGACCTGAGTCATAGTACACTGATAAAGAACTTGCCTAGCATCTGCAAAGCCTGGGGATCAAGTCCTAGTATTGGGGAGGAATAAAAAACAGAAAACTTCTTATCATGTTGGGTATTCTGGCTCAAGCATGGAATCCCAATACTTGGGAAGCAGAGATGGAGGATTAACAAAAATTCAATGTTAGCATGTAGTACACAGAGAGTTCCAGGTCAACTAAGACACACAGTAGACCCTGTCTTCAAAAAGAAACACTACATAAACGAATAAATAAGCAGGTACATGTACACCAGAGGTAAGCACTTTCTACTCACGAGGCTCAAGACTGAAAACAACGTGCTAGGCCCTGAAGAAAAGTACTACACGAGAAATGCTGAGTGGGCAAATGCAATTGACTCGGGGTGGGAGACACACTGACACTGGTGGAAACATGATTTTTGTCAGTTGATTCAACAGAAA